AAGTTCAAATGGGAGCACGCTATAAAGAGCAGTATTATTTTCTCCTCAAGGCCATCTGAGGGGTGGAGTTGATATAAAACCTCATGTAACACTCCTGTCTCCTCTCTTTGTTCTTTTGGCCCTGGTTTGGGATGTCTAGGGTTATTTCTACCCAGCTTATTTGTCTAAGGGGCAAGATGAGTTTCTCTAGCAGTTTCGACCAGAAAATCCCAGAGAATGCTGAGTGGCCTGCTTTGGGTCACATATCTTTCTGTGGTCCCATCCTTGGGCAGGTAAATGGAACAAACACTATGTTTTCACCCTGTTCTCTCCAGGAGTCAGCACCTGGCTCAGTTGACAGAAGTTCTCTGTTACCAAGAGACTTTCCTAGGGGAAATGTCAAAGGCAAAGGCAGGGTCCTTGATACTCTCTTATCAAGTACATGCTCACCTTTTTACAGGGAATTTCTGAGGATAAAATACCCTAATCAAAGAAGACAATATGGCAGTCTAACTGGAATTTAACATTTTTGGCTTGGAAGAAACTTGGTTTCCAGGCTTAAAAATGACCCTCTCATTTCTGGCAGTGGTTCCTACCCAGCGAATTCCCAGAGTGAAAAGCTTTAGGATTTATATACATATTTTAGAACAGTGTAGGAGTTTACGTCTCTGAAATTAGAATGCATCTTATAATAGCAGTGTATATTTAATGTGTTACCAGGCAATAGTTTGTATTAGTTAAAAATCAGAGATCTTTCACTGGATGACTTCAGTTCAAACCTTGGGTGTGCTCCAATGACTCAATTCCTGTGTGCAAAATAAAGTGAGTAATAATATCTTTCACACTTACTTGTGAGGAATCAGCAAGTCTTGACACAGAAAAACCCCCAGTAAACCTTTGCCATTGTTTTTATTTGTAAATTCCCAAAACTGAAATCAATTAGTGGTTATAGACTCAAGATTTTTTTCTTTTAACGTCATGCACGCTAGATAAGTACTCTACCATGGAGCTACCATCTTCAGCTCAAATTAGGATTCTTGGTGGGAGCTACAGAGTTACCTTTTAAAGGGAAGGGGGACATTTGGGAGAAATATCACATTTCACAGAATTGACAGGCAACTGGAAAGTTAGGATTGCTAAAACAGCAGAATATAAAATAGACCTGGGAGAGCAAGAATCAGAAGCACAGTAAGTGTCAGAATCAGAAGCTAGTCTGATAATTTAAAACAGTAGCTACTTAATGCAGGGAACTGGTTACAAAGATGTTGAAAGAGCTGAAGAGCAAAAGAGACTAGGGTGGAATGGACAGGATGTAAAGTTGCTACCATGGCATGGACTGGAGCCCATGCGCATGGCTGAGCTGCTGCAAAGATCATCACTCCCACGTTAGAACCTCATTACTACAGCTGAGTAGAAATCTGAGCCATCTTCCTGCAGATGCTGCTGAGATACCCCAGATGCTGCTGGGGCCACCTGTAGTTATGTCCAGTTGCCGACTATGGTTGTGGCTACTAATGCTAAAAACCATCATCAGAAACCTAAAAGAAATGGCTTCTCCTTTCTTCCAACTTTTCCTGCAAGGGGCCCCACTGGCAGACCTTACCGGTAAAAGGAACTGAGAAATGTGATCTGCAGATTCCCAGCCTAGCTGGCACCATGGAAGTGACACGGATGAGTGTGGGAGTGAGAGGTAATGGACACACCCTGGCTCTTATCCTTATCAGGAAGAGTGCAGCCTGAACACTCTTGCCCTGATCATTAGTGTTCCTCTGACACTTGGTACTTTAAATGCCATCCTCTGTACAGGAGCATTTGGCATGTGGTGAGAAGGAGAAGAGATGCCTGGGTAGCTAGGGAGGGATGATGGTACCTGAATCTCGCAGGAGTACACAGTGGGAGGTTTCTCAGGCTGAGGTGCTAGAAGACTTAAAAACACATTAAGTTCAACATGATGAAGTAGTTTTCTATCAACACAAATGTGCTAGGGATGGTAGCTGTATTTTTACTAGAAGGACAAGGTAGAGACAAATTGTTGAATGAGTGTGAAGAGCCAGGAACTAGACAGTGACCTGCAGAGAGTAAAGAAGGATAGAAATCCAACTCCCAAGGCTTCACATTGACCCTCGGCATCCCTGCGTGTGCAGACTACTGAGGCACGGGCTAGCAGAGCTCGGGTTTGCTGCTGCCTGGTGGTGCAGACTGTCCAGGTCTATACTCTACATGTGTTCCTCAGTTAACCACGCTTCAAGCATACACTGTTGTCTTCACCCTTACTTTACAGATGAGGAAACTAGGGCAAAGAGTGATAAAATAAGCTACCAAAAATCTGATTGCTGATTAGTGGAGAAGCCAGAAACTAACAGCAGATCTGTTGAATTCCAGAGCCTGTTTATTCATTTTTAAGTTCAGGGAATCTAGCCCCTGGGAAGTTAGCTGACTGCTTTAGGTTCCATGAACCTCTGGGCAATAAAATCTTGAAGGGATAGTGATATTCAGTGTGTGAACCCCCAAAAGCAAATTTGACTCGCTTATTAAAATAATAAATAAAACTGACCAATTCAGAAGAAAGTCCTGACACAAATATCTGAACCCAAAGTGTGTGGTAAGAGGGATCACCATGGGCTTTTGTAAAATGATCGTCTCAACCTCTGATTAACAGACTCTTAGTTTTTCTCTCTCATTAAGAGCACAAAAGGGTAGGGAATGAAGACTGGGTGAGGTGGGCCTGCAAGCCTCGCCATTCCCCTAAGAACATTTTTTTCTTTTACTTCAAGTTGATAGAAAAATTTCAATAACTGTTTGGAGGGCTTGAGCGCTGTGCCTTGCAATCAAGGGATACTGTAGTGCATGGTGTCTGGCTCTTGTCTGAAAAGTCTACAAGATAACATCTTGTAGACTGCCCCAAATTGCTTGCTGATTGCCCCAAATTCAGACATTCAAGTGAGGCTGGTGCTGCAGTGGGGTTGATCAGACTTCTTGAGTTTGTGAGGAAGCTTTCTGTTACTCTGACACACACCCAAGAAAACCAACTTATAAAGAGAAAAAAATATATTTTGACTCACATATTTGGAGGTTCCAGCTCATGATCGGTTGACCCCATTGTGTTTGGGCCTGGGGTGAGGCAGCACATCATGGTGGGAGCAAATGAAAACAAAACACCTCATGGCTAAGGGATAAAGAATGAGGCAAAGATCCTCAAGGGGGCACCCCAAGTGATCTAGGCTTTACTGCTTATTTCTCCCACCTCCCTACAGTGCCACTTTGGGGACCAAGCCTTGACTATATGAGCTTTTGGGGACAATACTCAAGATCCAAACTATAGCAGAAGGCCTATATAAGCTTTCCCTACAGACTAATTATTTAAAATAGTAGCTACTTAATACAAGGAATTAGATGCAGGCCTTTGGGGCAAGAGTGCTGGAACAAGATGGTGCTGGGCTCTCAGCAAGCTGGAGGTGGTAGCTGATTCTGAAGAGTTACAGGTGGAGGAAGCAATGAGCCTCAAGAGGTGAGTGACATCTCCCACACTGAGGATTAGTTTTGGGAGGGGTCTCTGAAGAACTCACAAAAGACCACACAAGAGTCAGCCTCAGAAGAGTAAGTGGAGGAGCTTACGGCAGAACCCATCTGAGGAGGTCTGTTTGCTCCTTCTCTCCTCGCCTCTGTTCTCCCTGCCATGTGCATCTCACCACGGAGCAGTGAACAACTGCAGCCAACTGGTGAGGAAGCAGCTGTGAGAGAAAATACGCAGAAAGGCCCACCTTACCTCCTCGCTAAAGGCCGACAGCTTTCCATCGGCGAGCGCTGGCTTTCACTCCAGTATCCTATATAATCTTTTTCTGGGCATCTCTTTGAAACCAGACTCTGATGGGTGCTGGGGATGGGATGGGCAGAAATGAAATGAGGATGTATTAGTTAGCTTTCCCATTCATAGACTACAATACCTGACACACACAACTTAAAGGAGGAGAGGTTTAAATTAGCTCCTGGTTTCAGGAGATTCGGTCCACAGTTGACTGTATCCAAGGCACGGTGGAGCAAAACTGCTTAGCTCATGAGACTGGAAAGCAGAGCATGGGGATAGCAGGTGAGGGACCAAACATGGTACCCAGGCTTTGCCTCCATGATTCACCCAGACACACCCAGGAGGGTGTTTTATTAATCTCCTAGGTGTCTCTTCACGCAGTGAAATTGACATGTCAGGATTAAAGTCGCAGAAGGTGAGTCAGGCAGAGCCCCTGCCATCTAGAAGCCCACACAATAGTGTAAGAGGTATTCTGCTATCTAAGAGATAAGTATAAAATGATGGGATGCAGATGGTAACACACACTTATCTTCATTGAACACCGTGTGCTCAGCATGTTGCCTGAATGACCTCACTTCTAACAGTCTTCTAACAATCGCATGAGACGGTGACTGCCTTGGTTAGTTTATAAATGAAGAAACTTGAGCTCAAAAGGTGTTAAGTGAACTGCAGTTCAGTTCTTTCTGACTCCAAATGTGCATTCTTAACCTCTCTGCCATTTAATCATGCACAGGTGGTTGCCATGGTAGGTGAGTGTAGAAGAACAGGATTCTAAAGGAGAAGATGTACCCGAGAGAGAGAAAAATGTGTTTGGAAATCTGAGTCAGCATTTTCCAAGGCTGCATGTTTGTGGGTGTGCGAGACGTTGCTTGCATAGCTGCTAGTTAGCATTTATGGAGCTCTTACACCTTTCAGGCACCTGACATGTCACGGATCTTTGTAGCTTGCCAGGTGTTCTTACTTGCATTTCCTTATAGGAGGGGTGGGGGCTCAAGAAAGTGTAGCCAACTGACCCACAAACAGCACAGGAGAGAAGCCAGAAATGGAATTCAAGTTTGTCCCGATCCCAAAAGTTATTCTTTCCATGACATCACCCATGTGACTGGAAATGAACATCAGCAAGCAAGGGCTGGCAGAGCACAGGAGACTTTTGGGGGATGTTCTGGCTGCCTCGCCCTCTTTTGTGAAACTAATCAGCCCCCTTATTTCCTTTTAGGACTCAGAGATCACCAACATCCTACCCACTCACTTTGAAGGAGACCTGCTCTGAGTCCTAATCACCAGTCTACACCTGGACTCCCCTTGGTTGCAGTGATTGGCTAAGTGACTGACACGTGACCCAAGCCAGTCCAATCAGAGTGAGTTCTGGGACTAGAAAAGGAGTTTCTGGACAAAAGCTTGCTTTTTGCCTATGTGGAACTAGAGGGCTGAACCTGAAGTTATTTTTCTTTTTCATTTCTTTGTAATTTGTATGGACTTGTTTTATTCTGTTCACATTGTTCTACAGCCTACACAAAAAACAAAAACCTAATCTGTTTTCTAAGACTAGGTCAGGGGCAAGTGGCCAAAAAGGAAAACAGCACAATGAGCTATATAAGAAGGGCTCAGGCATCCTGGACAATCCAGCTTGCCTGTCACACGATGTTTTTAAAGCTGTAATTATGGCTACAGGAGACTTTCCTGTCTTCGCAGCAGCCACATGGCTGCTACCTGTGAGACTCCTAAGATGGGCTGAGGTGATGAGGGTGCCGCTGGCAGTGGGCCTTGGGCTGTGGGGTGAGGGCTTTGGGCAGGGTGGAAGGAGAAGGGGCAGGCTACTGCCCTGCTGATGTGAGCGATGAAGAGTAAGAAGCCAGGAAGGCGGGGCAGAATCGAGGGCCCTAACTCTGGCATCAGTCCAGCAAGGCTTTCGACCAAACCTGGCTGGCAAAGCCATGTATGGGGGAAACCAACTGTTGGGCCAACAATCCGTGTTATAAATGAACTTGGAGAGAATCAGAGACTACTTATATCTTCAAGAATAACTGCCCACCAGGCTTACAGACACAGTGTTCCCAGGGTGGGTCATCAGGCAACTGTGTTTCATAACACAGCAATAAATAGGAGATTGAGATTACAGTGAGAAACCAGTTTGGACTTCCCCGTGGGCTGGCACAGTGCCTATCACTCAGAGCAGGGATGTGATCATTCCGTGCCTACTGCTGTAGTATGCCAACTGATGCCAGCCTCAGGCTTTGGCACAACACATTCCTGCCTGATGTGCTCTTTTGCCCCCTATCACCTGGCTCATCATCTAGGTCTCAGCCTCAGGCCACTTTTCCCTGAAGCGCTCCTGACTCCTAAGGCTGGGTTGCAGCCCCTGACCTTGGGGCCCCTGCGGTTCTTGTAAGGACAGAGACATCTTCTCTAGTGGTCTCCTCTGTCCACAGAACCTAACCTAGCACCTAAAATATGCTTGCTGCCTGAATATGTAAATAAATAAACAAACAGACAGCATGAATCGTGTCTCTGATTCATCTCCAGGTGAGCTTCACCTCGGGTAATTTTGTGAGCATGTGACCAGCAGCATCCCACAGGCCCTGTGCTCAGAAGAAAGTGCCTTAGGCTTGGTCACGATAAACAAATATCACCATCATTGTCTTGAAATTCTTATCTCTGAATTTGCATTTTGTGAGTAAAGTCTGATGGAACCAGAGGACTTGGAGCCTCAGCTTACACAGAGTCCTGCTTTCCTATCCTGCCCGCCAACTCCCTGCCCCATGATGACCACTGCCCTCCACCCCAGCAGGCACACACACTCAGGGACACTCAGCAACATAGTCCCTGCCCAGGGCTAAGCACTGTAGGACGAGCCAGGGGTTGTGTCTCCACAAGGTGGAGACTTCCATACATCCCTGCTGTGGTTCCAGAGCGTGTTAGCTGGAGGCTTGGAAACACTCCTGGGCTGGGGCAGCAGGTTATGGGGGTTGGGGATTCTCAGCTTCTCTAGCCCTAGCCTGGCAGGGCAGGTTGTGTCAGCCCGGTTACTGGCAGGAAGAGGAACCCAGCACCCTGAAACCCAAATGAGTGTGAGTGTCCCATGTCTCAGGGCCCCCATACCTGGGAGCTTTTGTATTCTTCCCACTAGTGTCCCTGGGCCCGGAAATGTTTCAGCAGATGGATCTTTGCTTGGTATATATTGTATTTTTCTCTTCCTCTTCCCAGCCTGAGTGTGTTGTGGCCACTTGAGGCTCCCTCCTGGGATGACTCATTGAAAACAAATTGTGTAATTTTAGTGATTTTGCTTTTGTACTAAATGACCTGGAATCTGTATTTAAGACTAGAATGGCACAATATAAAGACAAGCAGTAAATTCATACTAGTAATGAAAAAAATCTATTATTTCTTTACTTAGAACAATATCAGATAGCAAATAAAAAGTGCCATAAGAAGTACAGAGTCACCATGGAAGAAAAAGAAATTTCCTATGGACTTTCATAGTCCTTTTATTTTTTCCTATTGTTTGAATAAAGAGTCCTGGATTTCAATTTTGCATTGACCGTGTTCCAGTTCATGTTTGTTGAATGAAAGAATAAGTACATAAATGTCTTTATTAAAAAGTGGGACACACTGATTATTTTCTACCTCCTGACAATACTGTGTATAATCAGGATTGCAGATAGGTTATAAGTATCTGAATAACAAAATTGCCCAGAAAATATATGACTACACTCTGTCACTCAATGATGGGTGGAGATCTGAGAAATTCATTGGAGACTTTATCATTGCAGGGGCATCACAGAGTATACTTGCATGAACCTAGACAGTCTAGGCCAAGTGCCTGATGCGGCCTCTTGATGCAATCAGGAAAAGCAGTAACCGTGAGATGTGCGAGGCTAATGTGTCCTTGTAAGTTGAAAGAGTACTTTTTAAAACAACCATAAGTATAGTACTGCAAGTGCATAAATGAGTACTGTGATTGTTTATTATCATTATCGTGTGCTACGTGTAATTATGAGTTTTACCTTCAAAAACTGGCAATAGAGTGATTTGTTCACATCAGTGTCACACAAATTCGGGAGGAATGCATTGTGTTATGATGGCTCGAAGTCACGAGGCGACAGGGGTGGTTCAGTTCCACTGGGACTACCGTGGCCTAGTGCCATCCGCAGCTGACGGGAAGGCGGTATTCGCACCCTGACTGTGTGCTTCTACTGGGGGATTCCCGCGGCTCCAAAGTCATCACTTTCTCAGCACCAGCTTTCATGTCTCACTCGATCCTGGCTCTGGCCTTGCTGGAGCAGCTTGTATTAAACTAATCCTCCAACAGACAGCAACTATAAACTCCAGACAAAATTTTAAAACAACTATTTATAGAAAGCAGACAAAGTAGAGGGTGTTCAACTCGTGAAAATGGTAAACGTACTGAGATACATGCACGCACACACACTCCTGCACACACACATTGTAGAGGGACGCAAGCCCTGCAGTGAAAGATCTGTGTGCATCTTGCTGATGGAACGTGTAATACGCACATACTGTGTTTTTGGTGTCACTTCTGTTTATCCAATCTTGTTTGCTCTTGTTGGTTTTTTTTTTTTTTTTTTTCCTTTAAGGTCAGGTCCATTGGATCACAATGTACCCAAAACAAAATGCACACTTTTTAATGGTGTCATTCCATGAGTTATAAAAAACATATAAAATTGTGTAACTGTCACTGCAATAGATACAGAGTAACTTCCATTAGAACCAACAGGTCCTTCACCCTTCCTTGGAAGTCCATGTGCCACCCCTGATCCTGGCCCCCGGCAAAGGCGGATCTGATTTCTATCACTATACCATGGGCTTGCAGGATGCCCTGTAAATGGAATCATACTGAATGTAATGTTTTATACCTGTTTTTTTTTTTTACTTACATAATGCTTCCAAGATTCATCTGCTTTGCTGTAATGTAATAAATTACTCCTATTATGGCTGAGTAGCATCCCATTGTGTGTCTATATCCTAAGTTATGGAGATTTGGGTTGCTTTCAGTTTTGGGTTATTCTTAATAAATCTGCTATAAGTATTTGCCTGTGGGTCTTTGTGTGGACATACAGTCATTTTTGCTGGATGACTACCTAAGAGTAAGATCATTGTGTCACATGGCAAGTGTATATTTCATTCTGTAAGATGCTATATTCTGAAGCAGCTGCACCAGCAATGTAATGAGGGTTCCAGGTGCTCAACACCTTCGCCAATACTTAGGATTGTCAGCATTTAAAGAAAACAACAACAAAAATTTTTTTTATATATGGCCTCACTATGTTGTCCAGACTGTATTTTTATTCTTTTATTAGTGAATTGTGAGAGTATTTTACATATTTGGGATACAAATCTTTCTATCAAATCTTTGTTTTGAAGAGATCTTCTCTAGTCTATGACTGGCTCTTTCTTTATCTTTTTTTTGTGACTGGTCTTTTCATTCTGTTAACTTTTTTTCAAAATAAAAAAGCTGAAATTCAATAAAGTCCAATTTATTGACTTTTTCCTTTTATACTTTGTTGTGTCCTAAGAAATGGTTACCTAAGTCACAAAGTCACAGAGATTGTTCTGAAATGTATTTTTCTGGTTTTATAGTTTCAAGTTTTATGCATATAGATCTACAATCACTTTCAAATACTGTTTTTATAAGAGTGTTTTTATATGACATGAGACAGAGATTGTGCTTCATTTTTATGCATTTGTATATCTAATTGTCCCAACATTATTTGTTGAAAATCCCATTCTTTCTCCATGGGATTACCTTTGTAACTTTGTCAAGAATCAAGTACCTATGAATCTACTTCTGAACTCTATTTTATTCCATTGATCTGTGAGTCTATGCTTTGGCCCGTGTTGCACTGTCTTGATTACAGTTATCTTTATAAGAAGTCTTGGAATCAATAGACATAAGTCCTCCAACTTTTTACTTCTTTTTCAAAATTGTCCTGACTCTTTTAGTCCCTTTGTCTCTTCTATAAAGGTTGACTTCTATTTTTAAAAGACTTTTTTGGGTTTTAGTTGGCTTAACTGACCTTATAGATGAACTGAAAGTGGACTGACAGCTAACCTGCACCTGCCTTTAAATCCATATCTCCCTTTACTGAAGTCTCTTTTGATGTCTTCCATGCTTTATAGTTTGGTAGTTTCCGGTATATAGTACATGTATACTGCACATGTTTTGTTAGATTTATCTATATTTTGTGTATTTTGATGTTACTATCAATTGTACTTTTTAACCATTTCAAATTCTAATAATTCGTTGACAGAGTATAGGAGTTAAACTGATTGCCATAAACTTGGTAAATCTATCTTCAGGGGCTGGTAAAAATAGGATAGGCAGTTATCAAAAATGTTATTATAGTAAAAGACATTGTCATTTATCCCCCTCAAGATGCTCTTTCTCGCTTCAAACACGCTTACCTTTCTGGTCTTGCTGCCTTCTAAAGCAGTCCTGGTGTCCTCTTACGTGAGTGTCTTCAGCTGTGCTGTTCTGGCTCCCTTGACTGACCTCTTGGAATTGAATTGATCGCTCATGGTCATTTTTACTTCAGCAGTAGAAGTTGCATGGTGGCAAGCATGCTGAATGGAGTGGATAAGAACACATCATAATTTTTTATTTGTCAGAAGTGTTTTGAATCAATGGAAAGGAAGAGGCACAAGAAAAGGAGGCCGGCACACTGAATCTGCCAGCACCTGGATTTTGGACCTCTAGAACCATGAGAAATCAATTTCTATTGTTCACAAGCCTCCCCATGTATGATATTTCAGTATAATAGCTTGAAGAGTCTAAGATGCCCATTTACAATGACCTGTGCTTTAACAGACTTGGAGAACAATGTATACATATATCAAAATATAATGTTAATCTGTCGATTAAAATTAATTAATTAATTAAGGAAAAAGAGGACAGAGGGACTTGAAAAGAGCCAACAGCAATTTGATCACTGTTATAATAGTTGTTTGTTCAAAATTTCTATCTAATTCAACTTTCCTTTGTCCTATCTGTTGTTTCTGGGCTGTGGATTGCCTTACTGTTAGTTTGGATATATTATTCTTTTGATTGTTTAATTATTTTTCTTCTCCAACTGTAAACTCAATCACCACAATAGCAATTGACCCTCACAGAGGATTTCCTATGTACGGACAACTGCGTCTCCACAGGTACTAACCATACTGTGATTGTCCTGTGAAATCTGTTTACTTTTATTTTGCAAGCAAAAAACTTAAACTGAGGGCAGAACTTGGGAGCACCAGAGCAAAGATTTTTTTCCCCCAGACCGAGTCAGTACTCTGTTATCCAGTGACCCTAAAATCTGAACAAAGTGAATAGGAGCTCAGATAAAGGCCTGTCTTTATGAGCTACGTACTGTTGGGCTAATCCCTCTGATTCCAATCCTATTTAGACAACACTTCTGTCTGGGCTCTTTTCTAGGTTCTCAGCCTCACTCTCCTCATCTATGGGTGTAATAAATTTCCTTCTGGAAGTGAGATAAGAAATAATGTGTCATTTCAAGAACCCCAGAGTCAGACTGCCTGGGTACAGCCTTGCTGATATCATTTATAGGCTGCTGTGTAATCTTGGGTGTGTCACTTAATCTCTGTACTGATTCCTCATCTATAAAATGTGCATAATGGAAACATCTACTTTAAAGAACTATTGGACAAATTAAATAGGTTAACAAATGCAAAGTATTTACAAGATTGCCTGCCTTTAGTGAGTGGTGCATGCACTTTAGCTGTTATCACTGTTGTCCGTTAGGCAATATGGAACTGTTTGGGAGACCAGGTGTGGACCCCAGCCTTGTGCTCACTAGCCGTGTGATCTTGGGCTGTCCTATCACTTGTCACCTATTAAACAAAGATAATAACACTGACCCACAGACATTTTGTGAGGGTGAAGTGGGACAAAGTAAAGCACTGGTAGAGTGTGCAGTGCCGGCCATGGAGCCGGCCTTCTGCAAGCACTAAACCAACGCCAGCAGCGATGACTAAAGTGTGGATCAACTCCCAACCCATGAGAGACGCTTGGTTCAGTCCATTCTCTGTTGTTACAACAAAACACCTTTATACGGAAAAATGTTGAGCTCACAGCTCTGGAGTTTCAGGGGTGTGCTGGCTTCTGCTTGGCTTTGGTGAGGACCTCAAGACAGATGATGTGATAGTTAACTGTTGTGTCAGCTTGAGTAAGAAACACCCAACGGATTGGCCTAGCACAGTTCTGGATGGATTTACTGAAGAGAGAAGACCCAGCCTGCGTGTGAGTGCACCAACCAATATCCCTGTAGCCTGCATAGAATTAAAAAAGAGGAGAGGAGAAGGAAGGCTCGCTTCTGTTTCTTTGGAGGAGGGAGTCCAGTCTTCACCTTTGTCTTGGGTGTCTGCTTCCTGGCTTCCAGTGCAGACCCTTTGACCTCCTGAACCTTGCTGCACAGGACTCTACGGTCAGCTCCAGGCCTTCAACTTTTGACTGGATCCTTCAGCTATCCAGAAGCCTTTTTGCAGTCTTCCACACCTCACTCTGCAGGAGGCCATCATAAGCCTACCTGGTACCATGAAGCTATACCAATGTATATATATTGCAAGACACTAGAAAAGGCCAGGCTCACACTTTATATAACAACTTGTTTTCTGGGGACCTGATTCTCTCGATCCCACTTACTTGTGAGACCAACATTCATCTGTTTGCAAGTGAAGAACCCCTAATGATCTAACCACCTTGCATGAGGCTCTGCTCCTTAAAGGTTCCTATACTTGACCTCCACGGTCCCAGGGACTGGCTTCCAGCATGCGCATCCTTGAAGGGCGCACCGTAGCAGTGCTCCCTAAATATTTGTCTTTTTACCATTCCTCATCTCGGACTGTCTCTCCCCTGCTGCCACAGTTGTATTACATCCAGATTTGGGGTGTTCTTTCCAAGGCGGGCCTGGGCTGAGGCAAGTGCTAAGGGCTTTCTCTGCCCAGTTTACAGAAGGAAATGTGTAGTGAAGCCTGGTGAATCACCCTCCCCTCAGCTATGCATGACTTTCCTGTACTGAGGCAGAGCTCTGTTCTCCACACCCAGGTGCCTACCTCCCTCCCTCACCGTTGGAGAGGCCACTGTCCTGCTGTCCCTTGACAGGCCCACGGCTGTCGCCCGCCTATGCTTTGTGGCTCAGTGCTGAGTGTAGCAGCTGGGTTCCGGGGCAGGCTGGCTGTGGGGTGGGTCTCTCCCTTGGGTCTTGCAGCCACTCTGGTTACCCTCTTGGATTTCCTCATTCACGGGCTGTGTGCCGGGTGGGCATGGGGGCTCTGTGATGTGCTCCAAACCTTCACAGCACCCTGCTGCTTCCAGGCCCAGGGCTGCTGCCTGAACTAGAGGGCACTGATCAGGGCCACCATGCAGAAAGCAGGGCCCCAGAGAACCTGTCCCCAGAGGCCACGTGGGAGCTGTGAGACCCTGTCCTTGAGGGGCGAGCTGCAATACAGGAGCTGCCAGCAGCTGCAAGGTAGGTAGAGTTCCCAGGCCCGGCAGGCAAAGAGGCTGCTTTGCCCATACCGGAGCTCCCTCGCAGAGACAGCGTGGGGTCTGGGAGCCGCAGAGGAGCCCTTTGTTTCTCTAGACCTACCCTGCATGTGGATTCAACCTGACTTGAGCCTGGCTCTGTGTTGCTTGAGCCCAGCTCAGTGTAGGACCCTAGGGCTAGGCAGAAATATGCAGGATACTGGAGTGGGGGGTGGTTGTGGACATTTGAAATCCTCTCTTTAAATAGGGTCACCAAACAGACTTGTACTCTACAGCAAAATGGTATTAAGTGCTGTATTAGTCAGCTCTGGTTGTCACAACAAATTATCATGAACTTAGTGGCTTAAATGACAGACATCTATTTTTTCCCAATTTAGGGGCTAGAAACCTCGGATCAATAGCCAGGCAGGGCTGGTTTCTGGCAATGCCTCTCTTGCTGGCTTGGAGACAGCCACCTCACTGAGCTAGAGCTCAGAGTCAGGTCTCTCTGATGTCTCTGGATCAGGACTCCATCCTTATGACCTCATTTAATTCTAATTGCT